GTCTACGCCGGTATACTAAAATCATTATGAAGTCTCTGCCTCTTTGCTTCATTGAATAGGGGATGATTTCCATAACTGAGTGCTACTTCACATAATTTCATCTACTTCAAATGCAAACGCGGACTTCCCCTTCTAAATTCCGTTTGTCAATATATGCTGTTACTGAGATGGGTGTTATGCCGCTCAGTGCATCTTTTCAAAACAGCAATCGGGAACTGAACGCCGATTCGGGTCAGAAGTAAAGGCCTGTAGCGTGCGCCTAAGCATTTGGAGCACCTGTTTATTGATCCTTGAAGCCAGTCCCTCCTTAGCACAGCATACACCACCCTCATTGGATACCTTATCCTTCGGACACTCATGCCTCGTATGGGCAATTGTTCCTTAGTGTTTCGATTTCGATTATTTTTTGCGTTTGAAAAATATTTTGACACAAACGCCTGCTTTTGGTGGGTGTATCGACGGTGCTTTTGGCAAAACTGTCTTGTAGAGCCGCCTAAACATATATATTCTTCCGCCCACCTATCTTACCTAATTTGTGATCAAACATTTAATTATTGCTTAGCGAGTGTTACTGAATATGTAATTGTAATGAAAGTTATCAAAAATATTAAATTAAAGAAACTTACATCTGTCTTAATTTACCAAGTTCAATCAACTCCATCAACATAAACTCCTGTTGCTCAGGCAACTAATGCCTATTGAGCGAAATGCAACCTTATATTGACGGAATTTACCGAAAAAAGGAAAGTAGGATTACTGAAAATATAAGAGTGGGTTATTGTTAAAGGATCTCTAAAGACAGTCCTGCCGTTTTTTTAATCACTGGTCAATCATTCCATTAGGTCCCCTTGGCTGGCTTTACTGTGGATAACCCTGTAATGTTTGCCCGACTTTCAAGATATCTCAGTTAATGCGGACGACTGCGGTGGAAAAGGCGTTACAGCCACCCGGGTCTGCTGCCGGCGGTGCACCGGTTTCCAAAGACCATCCCTTGTCCAACGGTGTGCGACAAGCGAAGGCACTCAATGAAGAACGTGTACTCATGATGGCCGCCATCGCACAGGAGGTCGCTGAGCAAAGCGATCGCTACTCCACCGAGCTCCAGATGGAACTGAAGCGACTGGAAACCGAGAATGCAGGGCTGCGTGAACTCCTGGAAATCAGAATGAAGGAACAGCCACGCCCACAGTCCTCCTCCT